CACATTGTAAAAGGGGCATCTGATCTAATACAACTCTCTCTAATTTCTGGCTTTCTCTCTCTATCTCTACTTCAAACGAACGTATCTTATTGAGTTCATACTGTCTCTTTGCAATACTAGATCTACAACAATATTATCATCTTTGCATCTCTAGGATTATTATATTTGATTACGATTTACCCCTTTCCTACTTTTGATTGTTTTTTAGCTTACAAAGTATATTGTTAACTTTTGAGCCAAACAGGAAGTATACAATTACATTACACATTTTTCTTTAATTACATAATGCATTAAGTTACTAAAAATGATGAAAGAAAAAGCAATCATAGATTGCCGGATTTAAACCGTGAAAGGGAGTTAATTTCTTTGATGGTCGCCTAATTTCTGGAAATAACCTATCCAAGCTATTTTTCCTTATTTTGGGACAACAAAATCACATAACTATTGTTTTTGGACTAAAGTTTACGTGTGTAAATGATTTTTCGGAACAAATTTAATAGGTACTTTATGCATTTTCTCTTAATTCAAACACAATAGTTGACTCTAACTCTATATATGTGTTAAAAATTTCTATAAATAGTAGTATACAATATATTTCGAACGCAATAAATTAATTAATGTATTGCGGTAGAACGCCGAACTCAAATGCATAAAATTTGAATCTTGAATTCGTCTAGTAATCCTCTCCTCTCCCTCCGAGTGATGTTAAGAGTGTATTTTATATTTATATGATATGCATGTAATGGTTAAGTGATAAATAAAATATATATGATAAATGTCATGAATTTATTTCTTTGATGTAAATACCGCGTGCAGATAAATTTTATCCTATTAAATGAATGTTGGTTTTATTTTGTAAGTCAAAAAGAATAATTGGGGTAATTTTATTGTCTCAAAAAAAAAAGTGACTTTAGCCGATTATTTCCATAAATTAGGTAATCATCCAAGGAATTAGCTCCCTGAACAGGCATGCTGTTTGTGTAACTTGTCCATAAACTCTAAATTTTATCCAATCATTAGCCTGCTTTGTAATTCAGTTTTCTTTGCAAAATCAAGTTAATTTCAAAGGGGAAAAAAGTTTTCGGATAATCTACTTATAAAAATAAAAATGTTGAACAAGAACGATCTTTCTGAATTTAAGGCAACAGATTGTTGATATATTTCAAAGGATTTTCCTAAAAAACAGTTATAGAAAGTTAACAAGGACAAATAATAATATAATGCAAATATCTTTTATATCAACTTTTTTTGGTTATATCAACTTTTTTTGGTTTAATCGACAAAGGGGTAAAGCGGTCCCAACTTTATAATATTTACATTGACGGTGCATAAACAACCCCATGCATTTCCCCCCAAAATTGCATGCCTTTGTGACTTGCAAAAGTCGACGAATTAATCAACCTAGCCTTAGAGAACGGGCATATATAAGAGAGATCACATGTTTCCCTCTTTCATTTTGTTAATTTTTGGTGAAAAGAAAGTTACAGGCAAATTAAAACTAAAGCATTTACCCTAAAGAGATAGCAAGAATTTCGTGACAAAGTGACATTCACTTTCTTCTCTTTCATACTATTCATTGTTTCTATCAACCATTCTCTCTTTTTATCTTTCTTTTTAGCATTTTTTAATAATGTCATGTTCAAGTCCGCTTGCGCGTATCTCGACTATTTTCGTGAAGTATTGGTACCTCCATCAGCACAGGTACAAATAACGCTGTCCACCAAGCTAGGTGCTTGGATAAATTTCTTTTGGCATGTAAATTCTTCTTTAATTACTTGAATTTTATGGATTTTTTCTTAAAAAAATAATCCTATCCTAATACTATATATGTGTTTTCCTCTAGCTATTAGTCAAAATTAGGGAAAGAAAAAATCTAGTTTTTGCGGGAAAAAGAAAAAGAGATTATGTAGTCTAGTACCATATAGGCTGCAGTATTATAGCCAAGATTTACATTTAAAACGTGAAATCATATCTTTTGTTTAAAAGAATCACGATTGTGTAATATAAGAAATGTTCTTTTTTTATTTTTTAAAAACATTTTTCAGGTCATCCTTGAGATGATTAGTTTTGCTTTCAACCTTCTCCTTACCAAGTTTTGCCTTTCAATCTTTGGATTTCTAGGTTATTTCGTCTATTGTCGATATTTTCTTACTGCTACAGATGAAACTACTTACAATATCAACATAATTAGGATTTCCAATCAAATATATTAAAACCCAAATCATCCCTCCATTCATTTATCGACTGTCGTTCAATATAACTGGTTTAAATGTTCAACTCAATTATGGGGCTAGTATTAGTGAGTCCACAATTTTATGACTTTTGAGTAGTAGTCCCAACTCTCATGATTGATTCATGATCTAATTAATCGTAGTTTTCAATTTATTTAATGCTCTTTATAACTCTACATTAGTCTACGTCCCCTTCGTCGGTTATAATAACAATCTCAACCCACATTTATGTGAAATCGGTGATTAATATTTTGCGTTTATAATGGTCAAGATTTGTCCAAAGTCATGATGATATTTAAAGTTATATACACTGAAGATAATTAGTATAATTTGAGCTAGGGACGGGTATACCATGTAAGAGTTCACGTCAATTCAGTATATCTTTTGTCCATACCTTGATATGTATTAAAAAAATTCACTAAATAACTATAAATATTTGACTTTGAACCCAATTATTATTGTATAGTACTTTGAAGTCATAGTAGGAACACACAAATTTCAAATTTCGAACTCGCCTTTGTATAATTTAACACATCATAATAGATGATTACTTTATTTTCCGAGTTATCAGATCATGTTTGTTATTAAATAGTTATTTGTTATTGCAAATAATCTAACAATTGGTGTAAAAATATTAGTACCACTTTGTCAGTGCATAAAACTTGACATTGATCTGTAAACACAATACAATTTTAATAGTTTTAGAGAAAAAAGGTTAATTATATTTAAATGACTTTAAAGTGATCTTGCATTTCTACCCTTCTTAACTCCTACCAATACTTCATTATTGCTCTTAAATTTCCTACCTGAAAGAAATTACATCTCCATTTAAACAAAATATCCTTTTTCTTTTTTGATTTAGTTAATCCAGGAAATATTTCACAATACTAAGGGTGTTTTTCGTATGAAAACAACGTTCAGTGTTTTACTTTCGATTTTCCTATGTTTGGTTCGCCAAGTATTTTGAAAAATATTTTCTCCAAACAAGTTGCTTAAAAATTAGAAAAATAATCAACTTCCCTAATGAGAGTAGCCGAGTAGGGATCGGAAAACAACTCCCATAAGTTGATTGTCTCCTCCTCAGTACCCTAAGCATAGAACAGTTATGAAATCTCAAGATCCTTAAATTTGTGCCTAGCGGCGGAGCTAATAATTTTAGCCGTTTGACCATAAAAATCCTAAATTTGTTTTAAAAAACTTAGAGCCCATTCGGACATACAAAATTTTTCATTTTTTTCAAATTTTCTTTTTGGTTATCCCTTTCTTACCAATTTTTCCTTTTTCACTTGAAAATCCATCTTCAATCACCCGTTTTTCAATTGGAAATTGGAATTTGCAAGTTTTTAATTTTACAAATTTACCCTATATTTTTAAAATTTAAAAAATGACCCCATCAGTTTTTCATCTTTGGCAGGTACATCTTTGGCGACTGATGGTGGAACATCAGTCCTAGTTGATACTTGAACTCTGCCTACTGGAAGTTTGATTATATGATTATGAGAAATATATGTGGCTATGCCTGCTTTTGCACCTCTATGTGTGTTAGTAGAACTAGAAAATGTGATATTGATTTTGCGTCTTCTGTGTATTGCAGTAAAGTAGAATATGATAATAGTTAAACAATAGCATTTTGATTATTTATTTCAAGTAGGATAATCAAATTGGGGTGGTTTTGATATTTTTACAAGTTGTGGGGTATAAATCATGTTTCATATTTGAAAAAAAAAAAGACATCCAAATATGTTGCAAATATTATAACCAAACACAACTTCATCTTCAATTTAAATTTTAGTGAAATTCCAAATTTGAAAAAAAAAAATTGGAATTCATGTCCAAACGCCTACTTAATTTAGGTGAAGTTTGGTTTGAAGATGAAAATTTGTTTGGACATAATTTTTCAAAACATATTTCACTTTTTTTTTTGTTTTGAAAAAACATGAAATGTGACTTATACCCATAAGTTCTAAAAACTATCAAAAATACCAAACGATACCAAATAAACAAACTTGTTAATCCCGTATATGCAGAACATCGATGCCATTCATTATTATTATTACAAACCATAGTCCAGAATATAGATAAGTTTGGCACAAAATTATTATTTTTATAATGAACTACATAATACACAATCCTAAAATCATAACCTGATATTTTAATATCAACTGCTAATAACACAATTACTAGCAACTATAATTCGTCAAATTACTATTATATTACAAGATCCATCATTCCAAAAGAAAATAATAGTAAATAGTTGGGTCATAATAGATGGTGAACTTTTCTATAAAATACAAAAGTTTTGAGGTAAATTTAAAATTGTTAAAAAATCAAACAGTACTTTTTTGGGGCAAAAACAGGTCTAGAGCTAGTTTTGGATTTGAAAATTTTGTATTCAAAATTTGCCAAAACATGGATAAAATCTATAAACAAACATATTTTGCTAAAATAATTTTGAAAAAAACATGGCAAAATCTATGGTCAAACGGAGGCTTACTAAGGGGTGTTGAAATATAAAATAGTAAACATACGAAGAAAATAAGAGAAGTCAACATATAGTATATGTACATAAAATAGATTTTTTACCTAAGCTAAGGTGGCTCCTCCACTACTTGTGCCATTGAATGTTTTTAGATATATATCCGTGGAGCTGTGATGGAGCTTATTTTTAACTTCTTAGAAAAGTTACATAAAGTTTATAATTCGAACTATGTTAACTTAAAAATTCACACATCCATGGACTTCGTCCACATGAAGTTACAATACTGATAATTAAGTTACAAAAGAGAAAATATTATTAAGTGAATATCATAGGAAGTTCCATAAGTTCTTCAACTTGACCAGCATTTTCTTCTAGCAACCACTTTTCAAGATATGTGAATGGAGGAGGAGTATTAGTATTCATTGTCTTTTCAGCAACTCCACTGCTTTCACAAGCTGAAATAACAGACTTGTATTCTCTTGGAATTGTTTTAGTACTGTTGCTAATTCCTTCATCCTTAACCAGAGAAGTTTCACGGCATTTAAATAGGTCTTGATCATCTTGGTTATGTTTATTTTCATGCAAGGTCATTTCATCAACTTTTGTAGAAGGATGTGGAGAAGATCTCATCCAACCTTCTAAAAGTCTTGAAATATTCTCAGTACTTGAAGCATACAAGGAAGAGGAAGAATTTGGAGAGTTGTGGTTTTGTTGTAGTAATAACTTTGAGCCTTGCTTATTATTGTCACTTATGAAATTCCATGAGAAATGATCACAAGTGTTAGAATCTTCTGGAGGAGAACTCAAATGTGAATCCAAACCTGTTTGGAATTTCTTGAGCTTTTTCTTTAGATGAGTGTTCCAATAGTTCTTTATGTCATTGTCTGTCCTTTGTGGAAGATATGATGCTATGGCTGCCCATCTGTGTACAAATATATATCAATCATATAAAAACTTTAGAACATGTATTGAAAATTTTCAGAAGGGTATATTTATATCTAATCTTTTGTTTCTTCTTTTAGTTGTACAAGAACAACTATTACTACGACATCTGAAGTAAGTTGGAGTCAGCTATATGAATATTCACTATCATTTTCCTTCGTTTATGCTCGTCATGGTGTTTTTACTTTTAGGATGTGTTTGGTATGAAGAAAATTATTTTTCTAGAAAATGTTTTCATGGAAAATGAGTGGTTTTATCACTTATTTTTTCTTGTTTGGTTAGTGAGTGAAAAACTTTTTCCGGAAAATATTTTCAAGTGTTTGGTTAGAGAGTAGAAAATATTTTTATGCTACTCTCCTCACCCTCCCCTCCTCTCCCCCGGGTGGGTTGGTAGGGATGGGGAATAAGGTGGGGAAGGTTGAAAAAAAGATTTGGAAAATATTTTCCCTTCTTTTGAGTTCACAAGGAAGATGTTTTTCAAAACATTTAAGCCAACCAAACATGAGAAAATTGAAAAATATTTTCCGAAAAACGTTTTCCTTCCTAGCAAACACACCCTTTGGCCTTAGTTGTAATGTAGAGTTAGAAGGAATGAATATAATTACATATAAGGAGGTGAACATTACTTGTTACCCAATAAAGCTTGAAGATGGACAATCATTCCTTCTTCATGTGGAGTAAAATTACCCCTTTTGATTCCTGGCCTCAAGTAATTTGTCCACCTTAGCCTGCAACTTTTGCTGCACCTCATCAACCCTTTAAAAAACAAAGAAATTTCTTCATTATACATGTATTTAACAAGGAAAAAAATTGTAAGGTTCAAAATATCAAGTGAATAATTACCAGTATTAGTAGGGACTGATCTCCAATTTCCAGGACCATGTTCTTGAATATAAGAGACCAAAACAATATCTTCTTCAGGAGTCCAAGGACCTTTCTTTATACCTATTTTGTCACAACAAGGAGGCCTTCCCATTTCTCTCTAGTTGGTGTGTGTGTGGGGGGGGGGGGGGGGGGTAATTTGTTGTATGAAGTTTTTGAAGTGAAAATGGTGGTGTTTAAATAAAGGGAGGTGATAGTAGGAAAAAGAAGAAGGTCTTTAATTCTCCCATTGTGTTGAATTGCTGGACAGAGGGTGACACACATAAATGTTAAAGAGTTAAAAACACTTGAAGTCAGAAGGTATTGAATTTACGAGCTCACTTTTTCTCTTTGGGGTCACATGGCTTATCAGCTCTTCACATCTGTCATATACTTTATATACCAAAGGGGGGGAAAAAGAAAAAAAATTAAAAGAAAAGAGCAAAGATCTTTGGTTGATATATACTACTAGTAGCATTTTGCCACTACAGCTTTAATATTTGCATGCTAGTAATTGTTTTCTGAGGTGACATATTATTGTTTACAGATGCCGGGTTACATGCAGATTCAAGGAAGGTAAATATTGGTATTGCAATAATAGTTATAAGAAATTTGTTAGTTGCTATGTTTTAGGACTGCAGTTTAGCTTTGAATAGTAGCAGTTACTTGGACTACAGTTACTTAAATTCTGCAGTTATTATTTTCCCAGTATCTTTGTTAGTTTTTTTTTAAGTAGATCATGTGCTGATATTCAGGACCATGAAGTTAGTAGTTAAGTTTTTCTTATAAATTGTAACTCAGATTACAATGAAAAGTATCCTTGTTCTGTATTAGTCTTATGCTCTCTCTTTTCAGATTTCTTCTATGTTCTTCATTCCTTTAATATTCTGCTCTTTCATTAATCACAAACATTCACTTGTTTTCTGGTTTGTTGATTAAAGTTAACAATAATTGGTATCGGAGCTCTTTTTCTTGAGGGGCCTGTGTGAGTGCAAGCAGATTCTATGGACGCCATGGACGGAGAAACAAGTTTTTCTTCAATCGCACCACCAACCTTTGATGGAGAAAGTTATCAGATCTGGGTAATTAGAATGCAGACCTATTTTGGAAGCGTTGGATCTTTGGGAGGCTGTTTAAGATGATTACGAGATTGCTCCCTTGCCAAACAATCCCACGATGGCTCAGATCAAAAATTACAAGGAAAGGAAAACCAGAAAGTCAAAGGCAAAGGCATGCTTGTTTGCTGCAGTTTCATCTACCATTTTCACTCGTATCATGTCTCTGAAGTCAGCAAAAGAGGTATGGGGTTATCTCAAGACTGAATATGAAGGAGATGAAAAAGTTCGAGGAATGCAAGTGCTGAATTTGGTGCGTGAATTTGAGTTGCAAAGGATGAAAGACAGTGAAACCATAAAGGAGTATTCTGACCGACTTCTTAACAAAGCAAATCGTGTCAGATTGTTGGGTTCCACTTTAAACGATTCTAGGATCGTTGAGAAAATCCTTGTAACGGTGCCTGAAAGATTTGAGGCTACCATTACAACCTTAGAAAATACTAAGGACTTGTCCAAAATTACACTAGCAGAGCTCTTGAGTGCTTTTCAAGCACAAGAGCAACGACGTGTTATGAGACAAGAAGGAGCTGTTGAAGGAGCCTTACCAGTTAAGCATCAAGACAGTAGAAGAAACCAGAAGAAGCAGAACAAAAAGATCCAAGGAGCAAACAATGAAAATGTTGGACACAGCAACAAAATCAAGACTGGAAGCAAGAAGACAAACTTTCCGCCTTGTCAACATTGTGGTAAAAAAGGTCATCCTCCTTTCAAATGTTGGAGGAGACCTGATGCGAAGTGCAGCAAGTGCAATCAGCAGGGTCACGAAGCTGTAATTTGCAAAAGCAAAATTCAGCAACATGAAGCAGAAGCTCAAGTTGTTGAACAAGAAGAAAACGATCAACTCTTTGTTGCAACTTGTTTCACAAGTCCCGATTCAAGCGAAAGTTGGTTAATTAATAGTGGCTGCACTAACCACATGACGTATGATAAGGCGTTGTTCAAAGATTTAAGGAGCACTGAGACAAAGAAAGTTAGAAATGGAAATGGTGAGTATATTCCTGCTAAAGGTAAGGGCACCATTGCCATTGCAAGTTGTTCAGGAACTAAGTTTATCACAGATGTTCTCTATGTCCCCGATATTGATCAAAATTTGCTAAGTGTTGGTCAATTAATGGAGAAAGGATACGAACTTCACTTCGTAAACAAAGCATGTGTGATAGAAGATCCATCAGGCCATGAGATATTCAAGGTCAAAATGGTGGGCAAGAGTTTCTTGCTAAATCCGTTGGAGGAGGAGCAAACTGCTTTTCAAGTCAAAGAAAGTGTCACAGAAGTTTGGCATAAGAGGCTCGGGCACTATCATCATGAGGGGTTGTTGCAGATGAAATCAAAAAGAATGGCAAATGATCTTCCAGAGTTGGATGATCCTATTCCAAACTGCAGAGCATGTCAGTTTGGAAAGCAAAATAGGAAAGCCTTTCCTAAGTCAACCTGGAGAGCCACTCACAAGCTGCAACTGATTCATACAGATGTATCTGGTCCTCAAAGAACTCCGTCATTAGCAGGTAGTCGATATTATATTGCTTTCATTGATGACTTTACAAGAATGTGCTGGATTTACTTCTTGAAATTCAAATCAGAAGTAGCTAGAATGTTTTGGAAGTTCCAGAAAATGGTGGAAAACCAAAGTGGCTGCAAAATTCAAGTTCTAAGGTCAGATAATGGAAAAGAATACACCTCAGAAGAATTCAATTTGTTTTGTGAGGAATCTGAATTGAACACCAGCTTTACTGCTCCTATACTCCGCAACAAAATGGAGTTAGTGAAAGAAAGAAACAGATATATCCTAGAGATGACAAGAATGCATGTTACATGAGAAGAAATTTACCCAAGCAATTTTGGGCAGAAGCCGCTCATACGGCTGTTTTTTTACAAAACAGGCTTCCCACAAGAGCATTGAAGAATCAAACACCCTTCGAAGCATGGTATGATTATAAACCATCTCTGAATTTTCTTAGAGTATTTGGCTGTTTGTGCTTCAGTCACGTTCCACAGATCAAGAGGGATAAATTAGATAAAAGAGCACTTCCATGCATCTTTATTGGCTATAGTTCTGTTGCAAAAGCTTATAAAGTGTTTCAGCCACAAACGGGAAAAATTATTTTAAGTAGAGATGTGCACTTTATGGAAGATGAAGGGTGGAACTGGGACGATGCAGATAAGAAGGATCCAACTTCAAAGTTCAAGTTGCCTGCTTCAATAATATAGATCAAAACTATCACAAGAGATGGGCAAAATGATTTGGTGGATCACATCCCTGTTCGAGGCACACGATTACTTTCTGATGTTTATCAGAGAAGTAACATTGCAATTTGTGAACCTGGTGATTATGAAGAAGCCAAGAAGAATGAAGATTGGAGTGCTGCAATGAAAGAGGAGTTGCTCATGATTGAAAAGAACAAAACAAGGGAGTTAGTTGATCGACCTCAAAACAGAAAGGTGATTAGAGTCAAATGGGTGTACAGAACTAAGCTTAATGCTGATGGCTCAATCAACAAGCATAAAGCTAGGCTCGTGGTCAAAGGATATGCTCAAATATTCGGTGTGGACTACTCAGATACCTTCGCACCAGTAGCAAGACTTGACACTATTAGGCTCTTACTCGTTGTTGCAGCACAAAAGAAATGGAAAGTGTACCAGTTAGATGTCAAATCAGCATTCTTGAATGGTTTTCTGCAGGAGGAGATCTATGTAGAACAACCAGAAGGCTATGTGAAAGAAGGAGAAGAAGATAAAGTCTATCTTCTTAAAAAGGCACTCTATGGATTGAAACAAGCTCCAAGAGCTTGGTACAGCAGAATTGATGACCATTTACTCAGTTTAGGCTTTGAAAAAAGCTTATTTGAGTCCACTTTGTATGTCAAAGATAATGGAAATGATACTCTAATCATTTCACTTTATGTTGACGATCTTCTGGTTACAGGAAGTAGTGCACATCAAATTGAAGATTTCAAACAAGAAATGATGGAAGTGTTTGAAATGACAGATCTTGGGCTCATGTCTTACTTCCTCGGCATGGAGATTAAACAAGATCGGGGTGAAGTGTTCATTTGTCAAAAAAAAAAATATGCGAAAGAGATACTAAAAACGTTTTGCATGGAAGACTGCAAGGAGATGGGCACACCAATGAATCAAAAAGAAAAATTGAGCAAAGAAGATGGAACACAGAAAGTGGATGAGTCATATTTCAGAAGTTTGGTTGGGTGTCTGATGTATCTAACAGTAACAAGGCCTGACATCCTCAATGCTGTAAGTATTCTATCTCGCTTCATGCATTGTGCAAGTGAAGTGCATTTAAAGGCAGCAAAAAGGGTGATCAGATATGTCAAAGGAACGACTGATTTTGGAATCAAGTTTAAAAGTTGTGAACAACTCAAACTAACTGGTTTTTCCGACAGTGATTGGGGTGGTTCAGTTGACGACATGAAGAGCACTTCTGGATACTGTTTCACTATTGGTTCAGGTGTCTTTTCATGGAGTTCAAAAAAGCAGGATATAATAGCTCAATCGACAGCAGAAGCAGAATTTGTGGCAGCAGCAGCTGCGGTGAATCAAGCATTGTGGTTGAGGAAAATATTGGAAGATCTTCCTCTTGAGCAGAAAGAAGAAACTGAGATATTTGTTGACAATCAGGCTGCAATAGCTATTTCACATAATCCAGTTTTCCATGGAAAGACGAAACATTTTAATATCAAGTTGTTTTTCTTGAGAGAAGTCCAGAAGAATGGGGAGGTGACTCTCATTTATTGCAAATCAGATGATCAATTAGCTAATGCTTTTACCAAACCATTGTCAGTTCACAAGTTCGAGTCTTTGAGATCGAAACTTGGTGTCTGCAGATCCTAAAGCAAGGAGGAGTGTTAGTTGCTATGTTTTAGGACTGCAGTTTAGCTTTGAATAGTAGCAGTTACTTGGACTGCAGTTACTTACTTAAATTCTGCAGTTATTATTTTTCCAGTATCTTTGTTAGTTTTTGTTTTAAGTAGATCATGTGCTGATATTCAGGACCATGAAGTTAGTAGT